CCTACAAGCTGTGTTTTAATAACCAAAACAACAGAAAACAGGAGCCATTATCCCAATACCTCCATTTTTAAAAAACTTCATTACTGTCTGAATTACTTGGTCTCACTTTAGTTAAGGAAACCTATTCCTTGGGTTTCTTCAAAAGAGTGTGCTAGAAAATGAGACCTATAGTGAGTTCCAGTAACCCATATATTTTTACACTGCAAGGCAGTAACACATTCAAATATATTTATAACAAAACATTAACAAAACAATGCCTGTCTTTGCTATGTGCAACACACTGATATATTTTATTCTGTTCTTTTTCTTTTTTAATTGCTGGTGGCAACCCATTAAATTGATTTCGCATCTCAATAATAGTTCATGTCCTACAGTTGAAAAGCACTGCTCCGATGTGTCCTTTAAAAAGGTAAAAGAAGCAAGCATTCTGAGCCTAATGATCAGGACACAAACAAGTGTGGTCAGCAGGACCCCAGCTGCACAACTTTTCCCCAGTAAGTTAGTAGATCTCAAAGCCATACAGGATTAAGTCTCTGGGCCTGTGATTGCTCAACACTTTGGCCATAAACTCACATCAACAGAAAGGGGCTTCAAAGGTTGTCCAGCCCTCAAAGGGTAGATCGTCCTTCAATGCCTAGTTTTGAAGAGGCTATGGAGGACAGCTCATCTTCCAGAGAACAGAATGGGGGCATCCAGGCTGGCTGACCCAAAAATTCACACACTGCGCGGACTGGGAGTCATTTTCCCCATCCAGAGGATAAGGCATATGCTATGAACCACTGACCTCCTGTTTTCCCTCCATATATGGATTGGGTACATTGGCACTTGGCCTTAGGCTTCCAGATCATGAGGAGCTGTCTTTGGACCTGACCAAAAGGAATTCTTGTCACTCAAATATCCCAAACCAGAGCACAGACTTACTTCCTGTATGAATCCTACCTTCCTTCCAAAAGAATCCTGAATGCTCAACCTAATTCCATTTCATTATCAGCTGCAAAACTTCCAAATATCTAGCTAGTGGAAGGCTTCATCCCATTTTCCATCATTGATACCATTTTTTCTGTTTTAATATTTTAATATTGTTTGATGTTTTGATATGATATCTTGATACTTTGGAAGTTAAATGAATAAGCTCAATGGCCATCTTGAAATAGTATAGCCGATTCCTTTTTAAGCTTTTTTGCTATTTTCCTTTAAATTTCCATTCTTAACATTTTAATTTTTAATCTTGGCTTTTGCTTTTCTTCAATTTTTTGGTAAATTTGCATTACTTTCTTCCTGTGATTTGCATTCATTGAAATAGCTGCTTTGGAAATAGCAGAAAAGCTCCAAACCACTGATGGGTTCAGGGCACACAGCATAGTTAATATTTGAAGCTGAAAGAGTCTGAGAAAATGGCCAGAGCAGAAAAGTCACTTGACCTCCTTCGTCACTGCCCTTCTTCCCCCCAAAACAGGTCATAAAACCCTCATGTGAGAGGTGTCCGGGAGGAAAGGAGCACCCTTATCTCCAATACAAAGGGACGCCGAGAGGAATCCTAAGGAACCGGTCTGGCTGTTTTCCCCAGGTTACTGCAGTTACCACCTACTCCCTAACCTACCATATTCCTCCATGGCTGCGTGTGCTTCGTCAAACCTAACGCAAAATACTCAGGTCTGTTTCTTTGGGTCTTTATTTCCTTATGAATCTCTCGTGTCACATAAAACCAATTAAATAAATTTGTATGCTTTTCTGTTGTTAATCTGTCTATGTCAGTTTAATTTTCAGAACCAGCCAGGGACCCTAAGGTTGAGGAAAACTTCTCACCACACCACAAATTTCGTTTTGTTGAACTAACACCATGGAAGTGGCAGGACTGAAGCAGATTTGCTAATACATCCCTCCTCCCAACACACACACCCATGAGTGGAGTGATTATGTCCCGTCATCTTCCTCAAGCAAACTCATATGTCCTTGCCATCCCAGATGGTAGGGATCCAGAAGTAAAAGGCTGTAGACTCGACTACCTTGTGAATTAAGTAGGTGGGGAGAGAAAGTGGAAAGACTCTCTCCCAAGACAGGGGACTATGATAGGGAGCCCCTAGAAAGCCCTCATGGTACAATAACCGTGACCAAATGTGCCAAAGAGCCAGCATATGGACACCTGTCTCATAGAACCAACAGAAACATCAATACAATAAACAGAAAACAAAATGTAAGGAGACCTTGGTTGTCTGTTTTCCCCTTCTGGGTGTTGCTAGAATATGCTTTCAGCTGCCCAATCATAGCAGTGACGGAGCATGTGTATGGATGGGCATAGTTTTCGCTCTTCTCCCAAGTGTTGTTCATCATTAGTTGTGACAAAGCTGGTGTTGCTGTCAACATCTCATAAGTGTGACTAGGAAATGAAACATAAATAAAACCTGAAAAAGAAAATGTGGATCTAGAAGAAAATAGATTGGTAAGGGTCATAAAAATCCAATCCTTTAGAAAAACAGTAAGAACTAAATTCATTTGATAAAAATATATTTAAAAAGTAAAGGGGCCTAGACACCCAAATGCCAAAGGAAAGAAGGCCAAGGGGGAAAGGTGGTCACGGATTCTGTTTTGAAGACAGGAGAGAGACCAAGAATTAGTAAATCCTCTATCTGAGGAAGGCAGAGAACCTGGGTTTTGGTCAGAAATTCAGCCTAAAGGATTTTTCCACTTTTTCAAGTGGCCGTTATATACATCTCCAATGACAAAGATCTAGCCTCTCCGCAATTACCTAGCTCACTGTGCCCTTGGGCCATCAAACAAGGGGATCCACAATAGACATCAGAGACAAGAACAGAAAAGCAGAGGCTGTTGGCCCAGATGAAAGCTGCTGGCCAGTGGGATTCTTCCTAATCTTCAAGCAGGTATGCTTACTGCCACCACTTAAGTGGATAACAAGAACATTCAACCAACGGCGGCTTGCATGTCATATGTCCCATTGATCTATTTTCTTCTTGCCCACCCTGTCCATAAAATCAGAGTTTCCTACTACATCATCAAAGGAAAGGTTAAACCATATCATCTATCCATAGAAAGAGCTGCACCAGCCTCACCTTCACCTGGTTTAACTGGAAAGACAAGTGTACACTGGCTGAGCTGGTAAAGGTCATCAGAGTTAATTACAGTGATAACTAGGATGAGATCTGACATCACTTGGAGGCAAACTGGAAATGTAAATGGCTCAAGAGCTTGCCACAAAACTAGTTTAAATGTACTCTGTTAACTTTTCTGAAAATTAAAACAAAAGCAAAAGCTATTGAGGCGTAACACCCAGGTAATAAAAACCAGTATGGAACTGTAACAGAGTGAAATGATGGTGGTCTCTCTGACTCTATCTTAATTCTAGCCTGCATTTCTCCCATGGCCTTCAGGTGAACAGTTCCTGCGTATAATTATAGATACGCTAATTATTAAGGGAATTCTGCTTGAGGCTTGAGCTTTTGGCAAGATTTGCAGGAGCCTCAAGATCAGACTCAGATCAGAGACGGGGAACGAAAAGATTGAGAGATTTCATGCTCTTCCTCTGGTCTCTGTTGGGGCCGATGTGCACCCCACACCTCTTGCCCTGCCCATTCTCCCGTCCTGTCACGTAAAAGAAGCCTGAAATCTGGGCTCTTGTAAGATGTATTTGTGGAACCTTTAAGGCCCCATCTTCTCAAGCTAGCACCTTCTTGATCAGTAAAACTTTCCTTACTCTAAACTATTTTCACTACTGGCCTTCACCATCAGGCACACGAAGCTTGAGTCAGTAACATAATATCTTATCCTACCCCAAAGGTGATGCAATCAAATCATACACAAAAATCTTTGGAAAATTTGTGACCTTTGTTACGTTGGGAAATCCACTGTTATGTTTTAACCAGGAGTTAGGCAGCAGCAGTAAATTTCTCATTCTGTATTGTTGATTCTCACAGAAGTTAACTATTTGGAGTCAGATGATACCTCTGACTTTTGTTAGTATCACAAGTCATTAAGAAAAACGTCTGTAGACATTGTGAATGTTAGGGGATTACTGCCGGCATTGTAAAAGCAGCTTTGCACTGTCAGGATGATTTTAGCAGCAAGTCTGTGTTTACACCAAATCTTCAAACTGGCTTTAAAATAAACAAAGTTACTATTTCACATAATGAGAAGTTGGGAGGTAAGATCTTTCAAGGGTTGGCTATTGAGGAGTTCAACAATGTCGTAAGGCATCCCTGTTCTTTCCATTCTCTGCTGCCATCCTAAGCACATTGTTTTTTATCCTCAGGATTATCTTCCTCATTACTATCCTCAAGATTTTGTCTTCCTCATCTAACAACAGGTAGAAATTAGCCATTCTTTATTACTAGGAATTGTGTAAATTAACTTCTCTGGTAGCACTTGCCCCAAATTCACAAACAAGTACACAAATGAGAGAAAAGAGTAGCCTCAGACCTGAGTTATAAATAGCTCTTTTATTATAAATAATCAAAGTTGACAAAACTGGAATAAATATTCTCTTTAAACAAAAATTAAATATGGCTGCCCAAAATAACTAAAAATAACACAATGACCCACACTAGTTAAACTCTCTCTTCAAATACCAGCACTACAGGTATATATCCTCCAACCTGGTGAGTTTTTTGTTTTTTAATATATGATTTCAGAGAGAGGAAGGGAGAGGGAGAAAGAGAGACAGAAACATCAATGATGAGAGAGCCATTGATCGGCTGCCTCCTGCATGTCCCCGACTGGGGATCGAGCTCGCAACCCAGACATGTGCCCTGACAGGGAATCGAACCTCGATCTTCTGGATCTTAGGTCAGCGCTCAACCGCTGAGCCATGCTGGCCGGGCCAACCTGGTAAGTTTTTATAGAGTGTTTCATTTTTCCTATAAGCAGATTAATCACAATTTGTTTAAATTATTCTGATATTGTTATAACAATCATCTCTTAAATATTAAATACCATCAGAATACAACTTTGATCATTTTGGGAAATTGCCATTTCAACTCAATGAAAAATATCCATATATTTACATATTTTATTCTTTACAGAGTAGGTCCCCTCCAGGCCTCTTGGAATATTTCACCCTTTCCTACGGAAGTGTATGCGACTCATAAGTTCTCTGAACTTCAGTGTTAAGGAGTTGTCTTTCCATGCTTCGTAAGTACTTCTAAATCTGTCATAATAACTTTCTTTTTTCAAGTTGAAATCTGATCCATTTTTTTTTAAATAGTTGTCTTTTTTCCATATTTCTCTCCAGGAGCCTTTGAATTTTTCCAAATAACTTTCTTTTTCATATTCTTCCTTCCATAGTCCTTCTCTTTTTTTTAAGGCTGTTAATTCAGCTTTAAGTAAGTTTCTGTGAATTTTCCAATATATTTTAGAATCATAATTTAGCCCTTTAACAAGAACAGTTTTGCCAAGGCCTCTTCTCAAAATTTCTTCATTCAGACTCACATTAAAAAATCTACCCTAGAATAAAAAAATAACAAAAGCCAGTTATTTAAGAAAATTGCTGGTATACCCACAACATATATTTACTTTAAAATCAGCCATTCAGCACCTTTAGTCCTCAAAAAAACAAAAACCAAAAAGCAAAAGGGTCCCCAAGAGCTTAAAACGGCTAATATTAAATCCAAGAATTTCATTACTAGAAGAGATCTTCGCTCAAAGTCAATTGCCTGTTTTTTAACATATTGTTCTAAAAAGCCTCAGTGGTCTAACCCAAAGAGGAGCAGAAACACTGGAGTGTAAAAAGTGTTTTTTGTTTGTTGTTTGGTGGGGGAATGGATCACACAACAAAGGCAAAATGACAGGAGGCCACAGCAAAAGAAACTAAAAAGCAGGCAAATGCAAAATGCACTGAGTATCATGGAACTGTTAAATTAGGTTCAGAATTTCAGTGTTTAGGAAGCACTGGCATGTAAATGAATTTTTTAAAGCCTTTCCAGGTAATAATTAACATAAAAATAGGCCTGGCCTGGAATCTCCATCCTTTAGAAAATTTCATTCATGGAATCACTCACCTCCTAGTGAAACCGGAAAAATGGGATGTTGCCTCCCACACACTAATTTACAATGTAAAGGAGATCCTGCTTAGCTATTTCTATAGTCCTTGTGGGATTTTAACAAATTATTAATTTCATAGCTTCATTAAACAAGTAATTTAGAGTTAAATTCTAAAAATGTGAAAACTCCAGGTTTAAAGTAGGAGATATTTTCTAGGACTATGTAGAGAAAAAGTGACCCTTTGCTCCTTTAAATGCAGTAGCTTTTGGTATATGATGCTATGGATTTAATAAATACAGTTTTTAAATGTTTTTCGTATTTTTCTCAATCGTTTAAATTTGTTTTTGAAGTTTTTTTTTTTTTAATATCTCTTTATTGATTTCAAAGAAAGGAAGGGAGAGGGAGAGGGAGAGAGAGAGACAGAAACATCAATGATGAGTCATTGATCGGCTGCCTCCCGCACGCCCCCGACTGGGGATCGAGCCCACAACCCGGGCATGTGCCCTGACCAGGAATCGAACCACAATCTCCTGGATCCTAGGTCGATGCTCAGCCGCTGAGCCACGCCCAGCTGGGCTCAATCATTTAAATTTTAAGAGCTCATTCCATTAAACCAAAAATCAAAATAATTAAAATTCAACCTCCCACATTAGTGAAATTCAACAGATGTAAATTATCACCACATACATAGAGCACAGTTTGGCCACCTGCTAGAAAGCAATATAAGGTAAAATATTTAAGGTGAAGTGCGGGCTCAGGAGCCAGGAAGAGCTGGGTTTGAATACAGGCTCTGCCACTTGGTTACCCTGAGTCCCATCTATAAATGGGAATAAAAACAGTGACTCCATAGGGTGGTTTTGAGGAAGAATAAAATCTAATCCTCAACTTAAAAGAGAAGATAATGTTTTTTAAAGACATTTGGCATCTTTTATATAATTTTGTATCATTAATTTACTTTAAATGTAAGATGCTTTGGATAATTCTTGTTTTGATTAGAAATGAATGTGATGTGGACATGCAAAAAAGAACGGATTCCATTAGGCTTCCTATTAATAATTCAAAAACTTAAGAATTAAAATGGTTACAATTCTAATCACTTTAATGTAAGGTTATTTTACTTCAAATTACTCTTGTTTATTATATAATAAGGGACTTTAAAAATAAGAGAAAATATTCTTAAATGTCATTAATTAGAACCTTGGATATATAGGACTGAATATTATATTTCAACTATTTAATTTTTCTGTTTTTTTTCAACTATTTGAAAAACATTTCATAACATTTCAACCATTTAATTTTTCTATTTTTTTTTTTCTCTTTTCAGTAATCACCCACTAAAAATAAGGAGTAAGGCACATCCAAGGACTCAGGACAGCGACAGGACACCAGCAGCACAGATGGAGCTCTGGGCATCCCAGTTACACAAGGGCTGCGGCCAGTCATAACGGTAAGATGACTCTGAGGCAAGGTTTTCAGATGACTGCCTACTATCATAACTAGTATTTAAATATGCTCAACTTGCCCGGCCGGGCTCAGTGGCTGAGCGTTGACCTAGGATCCAGGCGATCGGAGTTCAATCCCCGGTCAGGGCACATGCCCGGGTTTCGGGCTCAATCCCTAGTCGGGGGCGTGCAGGAGGCAGCCGATCAATGACTCATCATTGATGTTTCTCTCTCTCTCTCCCCCTCTCCTTTCCTCTCTCTCAAATCAATAAAGATATATTTTAAAAAATAAAAATAAATAAATAAATATGCTCAACTTTATAGAGTTAAAAACTGAGCAATATTTACCTTCAGAAAATACCCTGTGGTTTCCAGTTGACAAGCATCATTCAACAAGTGGTTTCTAATAACAAGTGTGATGTCATATTCTCATAACATAAATAAATGTATATTCTCCTAAAATTAGTGATGTCCAGAGTCATTAATAATTTTAAATGTTTCCTTTTTCTTAATTTTCTATTTTTTATAATAAACATATATAACTAAAATTTTTTAACAAAATTTATATATGGAACTCCTGGTTCTCTAAACATAATCATTATGTGTAGCAGTTTAAAAAGACGAAAATATTCAGTCCTACTATATATCCAAGGTTCTAATTAAGGACATATTTGTGGTATAAATAAAAAGAATAAAATATTGCTCATTTCTTCACATACTTACCTTATTCACTAAAAGGTAGCAAAAGAGTGTTGAATTCTCCTTTCCAAGAAGTTGGAACCACAGTAGTTGGGAAGGTTTTAGTTCTTTTTGTAACCACACCTTCCCCGTTTCAGTAAGTTCCACTCCAGCCAGCTTAACCAGTAAAACACCACATGGCTCTTCTAAAAAGATTAGAGAGGAGTGTAGCTTTAATACCATGTTGTGAATGCAAATCACAAAATCCTTTAGCCCCCCCAAACCAACTAAATGTATTATGTTTATTTATAAATACCCAGAATCTCTAGATATGTCTATTTATTTCTATATTCATTTTCTTTTAAAATAATAAATATGTAACAGATGGAATAATTTCAAAACCCACTACAGTCTCTACAACAGGATGTAGGGTTTAACCAATTTACCCTTTTTTAAAAAACCTTCCAGACTTATTTATTTATAGATATAGATATAACCTATATCTATATATAGGGGGATGTAGATGTATATATACACACACATAAATCTATAGACAGACAGTTTAATAATATGGGCTCTTACTACTAATAAAACTGTATAAACTGCTTTTCCACTTAACAGCTTATTGAGGATATCTTCCCATCTCAATAAATATTGTTATTATTGTTTTCATATATTTTGTAAAACTGACTTCCAGACACAATATTACTAATTTATATTCAAAACAACATAGTGTTAAAGTTGTTTACCCAAACCCTTGATAAAATTTTAACCAATTTAACTTTAATACAGGATTTTAAGAAAAGTTTATAACTTTCCAAAAAGGGATATGCATGACAAAAAAATTTTAATGTCTTTTTTTTAAAGAAAGTATACATTTAACATACGTTGAGATTGTATACAAATAGCTTAAGTTATAAAGTTAAATCATCTAATCTCTAGGGGGGAAAAATTTGAGTTCAAGAAGATATCCTAGACATCGATGCTACAATATTATTTGATAATAAAAAACCATTTTCTTTAGGACATGAGCTTCTTGAAACCAGTCCTAAGGTTTCAATTAGAGAAGTATCAACAGGTGTAAGTAGAAGATTATGCCTTTAGCAAAAATCTGTGATATAGTAAATATACATGTTAGGTTGTGGCAAAAAATATAATAAAGACTAGATGGCCCAGTCGGCACTGCTCAGCGGCTGAGCATCGACCCAGGATCCAGAAGATCGCGATTTGATTCCCGCTCAGGGCACATGCCGGGGTTTCCGGCTCCATTCCCGGTAAGGGGCGTGCAGGAGGCAGCCGATCAATGATGACTCTCATCACTGATGTTTTTCTCTCCCTCTCCCTCTCCCTTCCTCTCTCTGAAATCAATCGATAAATATATATATAAAGATTAGATGAATTCTTATTGTTAGTACATAATGAGTTAGAGCAGCCTGAAGATTCTGAGTTCTCTCTCCAATCCTTTAATGTTACCATAAACACCAACCGTCTTCCAATAAAACATGCTCCGGTTTTCGAGACCAAAGCTTTTGGGACCAAAAACATGGATCTAATCCAACACTATCAACCTTAAGTATTAATGTCCTTACGCAACGCAGTATATGAATCATGTTTCATAGAAGAATATACACTTGAAACCTACATAATCTTATTAACCAATGTCACCTCAATAAATTTAATTTTTAAAAAAAGGAAAGAAAAAAAAATATTAATGACTTAATTCTTCATTTGACAGGTCATTGGCTTCCTTTAAGATCAGTAAATCCCCGCCGGCCAGGCGGGGCTCATCGGTTGAGCACTGACCCAGGATCCAGGGGGCGAGGTCAGATTCCCGGTCAGGGCTCAGGGCACATGCCCGGGTGCGGGCTCGATTCCCAGTGACTCTCTCATCCTTGATGTTTCCCTCTCTCTCTCCCTCTCCTGTCCTCTCTCTGAAATCAATAAAGACATATTTAAAAAAAAAATCAGTACATTCCCACCCTGGCTGGGGCGGCTCAGTTTGCTGGGCAACAGCCTGCGCACGAAAAGGCGGCCGGTTCCATTCCGCCAGGGGACCGGCCCAGGTGTGGGCTCCATCCCCAGCAAGGGGCACGCGGGGGCAGCCGGTAGATGTCTCACTCTCACATCTATGGCTCTCTTTCTCTCGCCCCCTCCCTTCCTCTCTCTTTAAAAATCAATAAAAAAAAATTTTAAAAATTAGTAAATTCCCCATTGAGCATTTAAAATAGGATATGGTCAATAAGATTTTAAAGATATACCTTTCAGGAACAAATCTACGGAATAATGTAAGTAATATCTATGATATCCTATCACCAAAACAGTCAAGCTTTTTTGAAAAATTAGATGTTATTTTGAAAAGTTTATAGTTTTTAATTTGTTTTGTTTCTGTGATATGAATCCTTCAGTCTTCCCAGTCCTTCAACAAATCTTTTATGCACACCTCTAAATAAAAAGCCCAATTCATACGGGACAGGATAACAGATGATACTGAAAGGTTATAAGGGGAAAGCAACATGGGCCCAAGAGCACACTGAGGAAAGGGCAGGATTTGGGTTTTATAGAACGAACAGAGAAGCAGGTGATGGAGTAGGGTCTGAGCATGTCAAGTAAGGGGAAGAACATGTGGCTTGGAAAAAAACTGCAGACATGAGATGAATACTGAAGAAACCACCACTGACGAATTTGTTATATTTCTGCTCCATCAGGTAGATAGGAAACTCATTGACTAAATAGTATTAAGGTTTTTTTAAAAAATAGTGCGAGCCTGGCCGGCGTGGCTCAGTAGTTGAGTGTTGACCCATGAACCAGGAGGTCACGGTTCGATTCCTGGTCAGGGCACATGCCCGGGCTGCAGGCTCGATCTCCGGTCAGGGGCGTGCAGGAGGCAGCCGAGCAATGACCCTCTCATCACTGATGTTTCCATCTCTCTCTTTCCCTCTCCCTTCCTCTCTCTGAAATCAATAAAGGTATATTTTTTTAAAAATTAAAATAATATTGATATCTTTAAATATAACTAAATTCATTTGAAAAATTTTACCAACTATTGGCTAACAATTATTTTTTAGGGACTATGAGTGAGTAGATAGATGAAAACGTCCCTGCCCACCAGGGACTCGGTTCAGTGGGACGGTGTAACCCTAAACACAAGACCACAGGAGAATGAGGCGCAGTACTGTAACTGCAGGTGTAAAATTGCTGTGCAATGTAGGAAAGAGGCCAACTCTGCTTGGGAGTCAAGGAAAGCTTCACAGACGACCTGACATTTGAACTGGATACTAAAGAATCAACTGGAGTTCAACAGGAAAAAGAAGTGTGCCCAGGGGCATGAGAACACATGTAAACGGCAGGAAGGTCTGTCACGGGGGTCTCTGACATGAAATGGGGAGAGCTGGGACTTCCAGCAGGAAAAGCCAGCCCCTTCCCAATCTCATTTGGTCCCCTGTACCCTTCCTCCCTATGCCCCAGCCACAGGAGTCTTTATGTGGCTTATCCAAAGGGCCAAGCTCATTCCTACACACGTTTTCTCATCCTTCAGGTCTCTGGTTAAATAGCAACTCCTGGATGAGGCTTTCTCTGACCACGCTATAGGTATAGGTTCCCCCTCTACACGACCCCCAGTAATTCACATCTTAGCACCCAGCTCCTTTTCTTCAAAGCTCTTAGAATAATTTTCATTTGTTTGTTGTCTGTCTTCCACCTAGACTGTAAGCTCCGAGGGGTAGAGTGGTCTTGTTTGTTCAGCTCAGCACTACGCCAGTACAGGGCCTAGAACATCACAGGTGCTCAGTATCTGCGGAACGAAAGCTTGAATGCCCGAGTGAAATAACGAGTGGTTGAAAACAGAGGAGGGAAGGAAGAAAGGAAATCTGGAGCTAAATTAAATAGTCCCTTGTATGTAAGGCCAAGAGTCTGGAGTTATTAAAAATTAAAACGACATTTTTTGCTATTTTATCTATAACTTCTTCTAAACGAAGACTAAAATAGTTACTTAGTCTTATTATACTTGCACCTTACTTACTTCTCCATGAAGATATAACAGGCAAAGTAATAGGAATATGTTCAATTTCGAAACCATTCTCGGTTATTCGGCGTAATCGTCCGCGTAGTTTAACATTCCTCCTTATAAATTCTACTGGGATATCTGAAGAACTTGTAAATTTTGATGTCTGATGATTTTCAAGGAGAAAAATAAAATATTTTATTATTATTTCACTGTAAAAACTGTGTTAAATTGTTATCCAAACACATAACAAGAAGACAACCATTGAAACTTTTTTATTTGGTTCTTAATTTTATATTAATATTTTAATTTGATTTAATCAAAAGTGTTTATAGGAACATTCTTTAGAAATCTTTGTCGCCATTTTACTATTTCAAGCTAAGATATAGAGCACATTAAACAGACTCCTAACTTCTAGAAGTTCACATCCTCATCAATAGGGGAAAAAAGAGGACATCTGTAATACTTTCAACAATAAAGAAAAAATTTTAAATAACAGTAAAAGCTTACATCCTCAAAATATGACACAATTCATCAAAAAGAAGTGAGTATAACGAATACAGAGCTGTACTTGGCACCACACAAGTCTGGTTAAGTAGTCACTATTCTATTCTACAGACGTGCAACCCATTCATGCAGGTACATTTGGGAAAACCTAAACCAAGCTGAGCACGATTAAATTAGAACTCTTAATCAACAGGACTTTTTTTTCTACTTTTTATCTCATAGGAGAAAAAAAAAAAGGTCAACATTAGAAACTTAATTAAATACCTAATGCCCTAGAGTTAGTCAATATTTTGTACCTATGTCTTCCACGTTAACAATTCTATAGGGACACAGGGATGAGCTTCATTCATAATCATGGCTAAGTAAGAGCTTCTCATACGAAGGACAAATTAGTACCCAACTTCCTAAGACAGTAAAGTTGAACTAAATATTACAAAAAAAAAATCCACACAAGAAAAATGTTGTAGCAGACAAATCCAGAATGTGGAACATTCAATGGGACAAATGACTTGGTTGCTCTAACAAATCAATGGCTGGGGGGGGGGG